CTTCCAAAACAATGTTGAATAGAAGTGGTGATAGAGGGCATCCTTGTCTGGTTTCTGTTCTCAAGAATAATGTTGGCTGTTGGTTTTGCATATGTGCCCTTTATTATGTTGAGGAATGTAGCATCTATTCAGATTTTTGCTGAGAAGTTTTTATCAGGAATGGGTGTTGGATTTTATCAACTGCCTTTTCTGCATTGATTGATATGATCATGTGGTTCTTTTCCTTTGTTTCATTTATGTGGTGGATGATGTTGATTTTTTTCCTGTTGTTGAACTATCCTTGCAAACCTGGTGTGAACCCCACTTGGTCTAATGTATTATTTTTTTTGATATGTTGTTGAAGTCTATTAGCTAGTATTTTGTTGAAGATTTTTTACCTATATTCATGAGGGATATTGGTCTGTAGTTTTCATTTTTAGTGATGTCTTTGCCTTGTTTTGATGTCAAGGTTATGCTTGCTTCATAAAATGAATTTGGGAGGAATCCATCCTTTTCTATGTTCTGGAATAATTTGAGTAGGACTGGTATCAGTTCTTCTCTAAATGTTTGGTAGAATTCTCCAGTGAAACCCTCTGGGCCAGGGCTTTTATTGTTGTTGATAATTTTTTTATGACCTGGTAAGCTTCTTCTTTTGTTATGGGTTTTTTCATGTTTTTCACCTCAGTCTGGCTAGTGGCTACCATATTGGATAACAAAGTTCTAGATAAGAGAAGACGAATGAAGAAGCATGTCAATATGATCTTGTAAGATTGAGATTCAAGTAGCAGCTGCACAGGGGTGTCAGATAAAGTGGTACTAGAAGTACAATCACACAGATGTAAGTCAGACAGGGAATCACATTTTGGGCTGTTTAGCACTAGAAAGAATAAGCATTTATTCTAGAATGGCATAAACCAACTAATATCTAGGCATAATCTAGGCAAATCAGCTAAAGAGGATCAGCTTGGTAATCTAAATATAGACAGCTAGGTCTTGAATTCAAGAGATCTTGGAGTTATGGGTAGGAGCTCTGGGGGTATAGTGGCAAAAGCATTTACCTGCTAAAAGGTCTGTGGTTTGAATGCACCAGCCACTCTGTGAGAAAGCTGAGGCAGTCTGATTCCATAAAGATTGACAGCCTTGGAAACCCTGTAGGGCAGTTCTACTCTGGGAGGGTTAGTATGAGTCAGAATCAGTTCAATGACATTGGGTTTGGTTTGGAATTACAGGTGTGAACAAAACTTGGCAATAATGTGAGTTTGAGCCCTAAGGCAGAAACTTGTTTGCTGCTTTATTTTTTTATAAACTATCCTTGGGCATTGGTAGTTCCAGACCTAAAGGAAGTTGGGAAGCAAAGATGTTAAAAATTGGTTGAGGCAGACAAAGAAATCTGTTAAAAAGTGCAATTAAGATTTTGTAAATTGAACATTTAGGTTCCAAGGCTACTTAGATTACAGACACCACTATAGATCAGGTCTCCTTGAGAAAATGAGTTTAAAGCCTGTATTTTAAAGAAGGACGTGCTGCATATGGTAAAGAATCCGGAATTCCTGAAAATTAGAATATAGTATAAAAAGGCATAAAGATAGAACCTAAATTATTGGAGTTTTAAGTGTATGAGAGAAAAACAAAAATATAGTGAGAATGAAAATAAACAGAAAATATGTGAATCAGTTTTTTAAAGAACAGAGTAAAGTTTTATAGGCTTTAGGGAATTACCACAGATCCTAGAACAAGAATCATGGACATTGTATTTGAGGAAGATCATTTTAGCAGTTAAATTTAGGAGAGACCTCAATTTAGAGACACTGAAATTTAGAAACCACTAAGCAAAAAGCAAAAGGAGCTCTGGTGGCATAGTGGATAACACATTGGTTGCTAACCAGAAGGTCAGTAGTTCAAACCCACCAGCTGCTCCATAGGAAGAAGATGAGTCAGTGTACTTCTGTAAAGATTTATAGCCTTAGAAAACCAATGAGGGTCACTATGAGTTGGAATTGACTTAGTGGCTACGGGTTTTGGTTTGGAAGCAAAAAGCAGGCGCTCTGGTAATGCAGTGGTTGAGGCATTCTGCTGGTAAGCAAAAGGTCGGTACTTTGAATCCAACAGCTGATAGCGGGAGAAAGATGCAGTCTGCTTTGGTAAAGATTTACAGCCTTGGAAACCTTATGGGCAGTTCTATTTTGTCCTATAGAGTTGCTGTGAGATGAAATCCACTCCATGGCAGTGGGTTTGGTTGGATGCTTAAAGCCCTAAAGGCCTGGATTAGGATGAAGGATGGAAAGTAGAGAGCAAATTCAAAACCCTGAGCAAATGAAAACAACAAAATTAACAGAAGTTGATGAAAATTAAACAGATTTGTGGAAAAAAATAAGTTTGATTGTTAGTATCATTAATAATAATGAGAAATTGGGAAGAGATTTGTTTGTCATGTAAAGTTTAATGTGTATCTTTAATGCGCAACCCTAAATTAAGTGTCATAAACACTTAAGATGCAGACATGATGAATTTTAATTTTAGGGGCAATTTTCACCTTCAAACATATGTTACAAGTATGTTATATTTAATTTACTTTGAAAAATAGAAATAATACTAATCAGAAAAAACTGAAAGGGTATAACTGAGTGGCTGTTGTGGTAGAGTAATACATGTCTGTTAGTAAAATATTTCACTAAGTTACAAAACAAAAATCTCTGTAAGATTACTGTTATCATACTGTTAGCCATATAGATAAGAAAATTAACTTTTTATAAAGGAAATCCACTGCATTGAGTCTATTTCAACTCAGTGACCTACACTGGGTTTCCAAAGCAGTGAATCTTTTTTTACAGGAGTAGATTGCCCCATCTTACTTCTTCGGAGCAGATGGGGAGTTTGAACCTTCCAGCATTGTGGTTAGCAGTCAAATGCCTTAGGCACTGAGCCACCAGAGCTCCTTTGACCTCTTATATATACTCATTAAAAGGAACCCTAATGGCATAATGGTTAAGTACTCAGCTGCTAACTGAAAGGTTGGCAGTTCCGACCCAGCCTGTGGCTCTAAGTGAGAAATTCATGACGGTCAACTTTCATAAAGATTACAGCCCAGGAAACACTATGGGGCAGTTCTGCTCTGTCACGCTGGGTCATTATGAGTCAGAATTGACTCAACAACATCTAACAATAGCAAACTCATTTAACTATATGATTAGGTTTAAAGTATTCCTCTGTCCTTTCTTGTATATTTTATGATACAATATTGGGGAATGTTATAAAATTTTATTTATATGATTTATATAGTATGGATTATTTCTATATTATATAGTGTGGATAAAGTACCAGTTAATTGGGAAAACTACTTATGGATACATATTTATCCTGATTTTATTTTAACATGAATAAAATCATGTTTATATAGTACTTTGTACTTTCAAATCATCACTATTCTTCATTTAAGAAAATAAAAAGTTGCTTGATAGTGTTGCCTCCCATTCTGTTCCCCAACGTCTGGAAAAATGGATACATAGCCCCATACATAGCCCCGTATTCTCCACACTGTTTGCATGTATTTTAGACTGTGGTAGAAATATTTTTATTTGAAAAATCATGTGTACAAATATTTCTCTGACACTATTCAAGTTTTTAGAGAAAATATGTTCATGCCTTCTGAAAACTTTTCATTTCTTTCTGGGTAGATACATCATATTTTAAAAAAGAAAGAGAGAAAGAAAGCTTTCCCCCAGATTTCTTTTTAAATAGTTCACAGTTAAATTTAAATGTCTATATTTAGGTAGAATTATGTTTATGGACCAACCACCAGTATCCAGGAAATTCAGTGGTAAGGCTGACACATAGGGAGTTTATAGTCTATTTTGTAGTCTATGTATTTAGAACGGTTAGAAGCTTAGTTAGCAAAATTGCTTAAACATTCAAGCAGAATTTCTTTAGCACAAATGCATGATTTGATTTCATGTAATTGTTAAGATAACAGTGTGTCACTTTTTAAAGATTAGTTCTCAGCAATATGTCTTAGATTTATTACTTTGAAAGAAAAGAGATGCATGCAGGAGCAACTTTTATATGTAAATATTTTTATAATCTTTCAGACTGGATTAAGTTGGCTTGTTGCAATCAGCATGGGTTGATCAAATTTGGAAGAAGTTACAGGCACATTTTTGTAGTGTTTTCTCCAGCATCTTTATTTCTTTCAGATGGATGCATTTTATGTTCCTTCCAACTAATCAAAATAAGAAACTGATTTTGCCAGTGCCAAAAAATAGAACTATCATTTTTCACATTCTTTTATTTTCTAGGACATTTTCAAGTAAGATTGTATTTCTAGGACTTCTGAAATTCCTGAAAACTCTTGACTTTGTAGATATAAGGGCCCAGATGAACATTGCAGGGGGAATCTAACCTTTCATGGAGTATGTTTTGTGTTGTGCATTCCACATACAGTTCACTTTTTGTGTGCATGTGATTAGTGTGGAAAGAAATTAATGCAGTCCAGTATTATGATTTATGGACTGAATCCTTTACCCACTGAAGACTTGCCAAAACTAAAAGTATTTTTTTTCCTTTGGATATTAGAAACAGCTACTGTTTTTGTTGATCTTTTAAAGTTCTGAATGGGCCTATTTCAAATCATACCAGCATGGGAGCTCAGATTAATAATATACTTATTCAACTAGTGATACTGAGTGAAACCATTGCTCACATGGGTATGAAGGATAAAATTTCATAAAATTATTTTCAGGTGCATTAATGCATTTCTGGAGGCTGTATGATTTTTCTTTTGCAGGAAAGAAATCAAGGATTTCTGTTAATTGTATCAGTTGCAGGTGGGCTCATAAGTTCATTTAAATTGCATTCAATTTATATCCTAAAACATAGAACATTCTGCTTTTAAAAAGCAGTAATATGATTGCTATATTATTCCCAAAGGTTTTTAACTCTTAGTATATTTATCTCTTGAGACATCATGACTGTTGTGCATTTCATTTATATTCTGAGAAAAATTTCCCAATTTTTTTTGTTGCTAGTTACAGCAAGCTGCTGAAATTTCCCAGCTGAGGGGAGCACGGGTGATTTCTGCTGAAGATCTTCTGTTTTTGATGCGCAAAGATAAGGTAACATAAAACAATTTCATTATATTAAAATGCCATGCTTAGTACCTACTTCCACTTAAATAAGGAACTTTGTTTCTTTGTTATATACGCTTCCAGCTGGAATCCTAACTATTGAACTGATGTGTTAGTCTTCATAGTTTGCCCCACAAAATGAGTTTTCTATATGACAATTGATATTTATTTCTACATGGACATTTCTGTGAAAACTGTGGTAACAGGTAATCCTCACTAATCCTTAGGTGTCTAATTAGACATTTTCATAGCTGCATAATATTCACAAAATATGACCGTGTGCTGTGTTCTGATTCAGGGGATATAACTGAATGCCATAATTATTTTTTGCCTCTGATTTTATATATTAAATCTTATCAGAGTGACTTGTTATTTTATCTTGAAACACAAAATTTATTCTGTGACACTGGCCTCTAGGAGAAAACAAATCTGTTCAGTAAAATTTCACTCAAATCACAATTTTTAAAAAAAATTGAATTGTACACTTAAGAAAAAGAAAATCAATCCAGATCAACATCTTGACAGCATAAATATAAACCATCCTTTATATTTATTTTAAATTTAAAGATCTGCCTTTCTTATTCTTTGAACTCTGGTATTAAAATATTTTAACTAGTCGTGCCTAAGGCATTTGACTGCTAACCAGAAGGCTGGCGGTTCAAACCCACCAGCCACTCCTCAGAAGGAAGGTTGGGCAACCTACTTCCATAGTGATACCACCTCAGAAACCCAAGGAGGGGTCGCTATGAGTCAGGTCCCACTCGATGGAATATAACAACAACAACAACAACAACAGTATTTACATGTCTAATTTTCTCCTTACTGTCTTTCAGGAGTAGCCAATTGAAAATGTTCTACAATATTTTATATGTTTTTAATATAAGTTTCATCCCCAAATCATTTACATGTTGAAAAAAAAAAAAAAACTAACTGAATAACCATAGTGTGTTACCAGTAGATGCTGGCCCAACTGAGCAAGTCCCTAACATTGCATCTTTCATTTCTCCTTGTTATTTCTTGGACTTCTAATTATTCTTTCTTATTTTCTTATCACCATTGTTACATGCCTGTGGCTTTGTGTTTGCTGCTATTGTTTTCTTTAATCATCGGGAGGTATCCCCTCCATCCTTTTGGACAACCTTGTTAACATCTTTTCTAATATCTAGTTACTTTAAGTTCTTCCTCTAAAAACTTTCATTATGATTGACTGGATGTTAACTAACCCTGAATCAAATACTTTGTCTTCCTTATGTAATGAAGTGTAATGTGACTCAAAGTCCTATAGACTGCATGCACCTTGACCAATGTAGCATTCAATTTTATGAAATATTAGTTCAACAGCTCTTAGATAGTAGGAAGAAGATAAAAGAAATACCTTCACTTATCAAGAAGCTAATAATCTGGTTTGGAAATCTGTATGATTTAGTTGAAAAACCATCTCAAAACTCAGAGGCTGTGTGTTAGGTGGGAGAGACTGTAGGATTTGTTGAAGTGGAGGTTTCTGCCGAAGTTGAGGCTCAGAAAATGTAGCCATCATATATAAAGTGGACCAAGTGCAGAGCAATGAAATAGAATGCTGGCTTGGTAATCAAAGCAAAGTCTGATTAGGATGGGGGCTCTGGAAATGAACAGAAATAAGAATTCTGAGAGATAGTGAAGAATAAAAATGTGTAGGGTTTGATGACTTCATGATATTTGGAGGACAAAGGAGAAATGGGTATTAAATCCTGTACAGCCTTGGTGTTGTGTGGAAGCAGCCTGAAAGTGCTGTTGTCAGAAATGTGGACCCACAGCACAGATTCCCTATGAAGCTGACTGGGGAGCAATGGAGTGACCATTCTACTTTATACAATTTCTGCATTCAAATTTGTTTTTTAGTTACAGTAGCTTTTTTTAAGGCTGGCACATAAAATAGTCCACACTGATACTTTTTCTGGCCTTTTTGGGGAAGTCAAAATCTAAAATCATACTGAAGCTTCAAGAACATATACCAGTTGATCGTGCTCTTCTGCTACCCAGAGGGCAGAATCTTAGCCAGAATTTTTTGAGCAGCACAGAATGTGGTGATAACGATAGGTTGCCAGGTTTTTCATCTTTTTTTTTTTTAATGATTATTTATATGCTGACATATTCTGGAAAATAATTTAAGATAGTTTATACAGGTATAAGACAAAGTGAAACTTAAAAGTACTAAATGGACTAAAGACAAAGTGTAGCAAAAGACCTGTGTATGTTTTTCTCTCTTAAAAATTCCACTTTGAATTCAACCAGTATTTCTTGACTGGCTGTCATATTTTACATGTTGTACTAACAGCTTCACTCATTCCCTCATTTATTTCTCAGTAAAGTATGTACTATTCTTATTTTATAGGTAAAGAAACAGAATTCAAAGGGTTATGCTATACTTCTGGCCCTGCTGAGCTCTAATTGTTTTTAGACTAGACTGTTACTAACCTCAGTTTCCTTATTTATAGAAAGGAGATGATACTGTTTGTCTTTTGTCACAGGGCTATTGAAAACATGCATCAAGTGATGCATGTAACAAAACATTTTTATTTATTTATTTATTTATTTATTTATTTATTTATTGTGATTTGGGTGAAAGTTTACAGAGCAAATTCACTTTCCATACAACAGTTCACATACACTTTGTCTCATAACATTGACTACAGTTTACCCCAATGTAAGAGCTCCCCTCCTACATCCTCCCGTTACTTCTTCCTTGTGTCTTCCTCTTCTTAAGCAACCCTTCTTTCCCCCATGATTGTTCTCTCCAAGGAGTGTATCTACCTCAGGTAAATGTTCAACTCCTATGCCTGTCTTTTGTTTGGCTGAAAGCCACAGGTGTGGGTTCAATTCCAGACCTAAAGGGCAGCTAGGGACCTAGTCTCAGTGGTTCCACCAGGTTCTATCAGACCAGCAAACCTGATCCCTTTTTTTTTTTTTAATTTAATGCAGTGTATTTCAGCTGTTGTTAGATATCTTAAACCTTTAAACCTAAAGGTTAGAAACTAATGTAAGCACACAAAAGCTACTGAATATTGTCAGTTACTTTTAAAGTTAAGCAATTTTGTGGTCTTCTAATCAAACTAAAGACAACCATCATTAAGACTTAACTCTTATTCATCAGCTTTGAGTTTCAGAAAAATATGTTTCTCAGATTACAGAATGTTTTCCAGAAATAAAATATAAAGCAACTCTTCTAACTGAAAGAAAATATCATCAGAGAATAAAAAGGAGACCGCTTGGCTTTTTAAAGCAGTTGTTTTAAACTCATCTAAATATGTTATAAATAAGTTCTAAAAAATACTTGCACCTAAAGCACAATAAAAAAATAACTTAAAAAAACATTTTTGTTCTGAATATATGTAAAATTCCCTAATAGCAGTACAACCAGTTTGGGTGTGGAGAACGTGATATTTTTTTACATCTTAAGAAAGAACTTTAAAATTTTTTAAGACAAAAAAGCACAATTGTGATTCTGCAGCATCTGGATACTTGCATGTGAAAAATGCTTTTTAAAATACTTGTGTTTTAGCTTTTATGTATAACTTTTTCTTCATAGTATCATGCTGAAGATAGCTATATTTTCCCTAGTATATTTTGGGATACAAGTTTATTAAATGTACTTACAATGTTGTTGTTGTTGTTATGTGCCATCGAGTCGGACCTAACTCATAGCGACCCCTCCTTGGGTTTCCGAGGCAGTATCACTATGGAAGTCGATTGCCCCATCTTCCTTCCAAGGAGTGGCTGGTTTGAACTGCCAGCCTCTGGTTAGCAGTCAAGTGCCTTAGGCACTATGCTACCAGAGCTCCTTAGTAGTCTTTAATCAGTAAGATGACTATGAATATACATTTTCTTATTTACTTATTTCATTATATTTTTTTAATAGAAAAAACTTAGAAGACTGCTAAAATACATGTTCTTCCGAGACTACAAATCAAAGATTGTCAAAGGCATAGATGAGGATGATCTTCTGGAAGGTAACCAAAACAAAACACTAAACTAAAAACAGTAGTTTATGCGACATGTATGCTGGATGAGACATGTATGCAATGTCATGCAAATATTCCCAACAGAAAAGAAAACATATCCTTCTGTTAGATAATGTAATTTTTAAATGATTCAAATATTTGCTTCATGGCCAGTTTAATCTTCTGATTTTTCTATATGTGTGACATCATTGCAATCTAAAAATTCATTTCTTTCTTTAAATAATATGCCATACTTTACATCAAGTATCATGAAATAATAAAAGTTGCTTGATTCAACATATAATTGATTTTAGCAAGTTTTTTTTTTTTTTTTTTTGGTGGCAGATGTAGGAAACAATAACTTATATATATCTTTGAAATTGTCACATATGTTTTTTTCCCAAAATTATTATAAAAGGTATCTGATATGTTTTATGTTTTATAAGGTAAACCACCTCATTCTGGCATGTTATTTCTGTGCTGTTTTAAATATAAGGAAAAGCATAACACAGAGTAGAAATTTTTTCTTATCGATCTACCAACTCCATTCTCCATTTTTGAATATTTAGAAAAATGTTAATGGTGCAAAATAAAACAGTGCTAGTATGAAAATAGATAATAACTAAGTAATAATACTAAATCAAAATAAAATGTATCTTTAGAAATTACTGGTATGTTTTATATATTAACTACAGTTATTGAATAATAGCATTCATTGCTAATAGATACACTGATCAGTAGATAAAGTAGATATAAAAAACTCTACTGGATTAAAGATTGTCATAGAAAACTATTCAGAACAAACTGAAGTGTCAACAAATTTTGATAGGAAACTAGTTACTTTTTACTTACCTTCAGTAAATCAGCAAATAAAATAGTCATATATTTGAAATTTCTAATCATATGTCTTAGTTAATGTCACTTATTTAATATTACTACAGCTCTCAGAATTTAATTCCTGGAAAATTATTCTCCATATAAATTTAAATACTTTATTTTATAGAGGATATAAAGAATAAAGACTTGGACAAAAACAGAACTGAATTCCAGTCAATCCCGGTTCTTTCCTTTCTCTGTGTGTAACCTTAAGAGTCAGTTTACTCATTTGTAATGGGAAAATTATATCACCTACTACTATGTGGTGCAGTGGTTAAAGCATTGGACTCCCATTGAGAAGGCTGTCAGTTCAACCCCACCAGCCACTCCATAGGAGAAAAATGAATCAGTTAGCTTCCATAAAGATTTATAGCCTTGGAAACCTTATGGGGCAGTTCTACTCTGTCCTGTAGGGTTGCTATGAGTCAGAATTAACTTGATGACAGTGAGTTTGCTTTGTTAACATATAAAGTCCTTATGAAGGTTTAACAGTCTGTGTGAAAAGCAACTGATACATTCTTGCCAGTGAATAAATGATGGTTATTAATACCATACTTTGAATATCAAGAAACTATGGTGAGACTTAGAATTCTATTTTACTAACACCATTGTATTTATTTGATGCCCTCCTCTTCTTATTGATTTCAAATCTCTCCACTTTATTTTTTTTTTAATTCTGTGTGTTTTACATAAACAAAACCAAACTCACTGCTGTCAAGTCGGACCTGACTCATAACGAACCCTCCTTGGGTTTCTGAAGCAGTATCTCTACGGAAGTAGATTTCCCAACGTTCCTTCCAAGGAGCAGCTGGTGTATTTGAATCCCCAGCCTTCTGGTTAGCAGTCGCATGCCTTAGGCACATGCCACCAGAGCTCCCGTGTTTCATATAAAGCACATTAAAATCTTCTTAAAATAGTTGGTATCAATTATAAAATAAAAATATTCAGATAAAATACATCTGAGGTGAGACTTCTAGAATGTTGGTATGAGAAATTAAGCAGATTCTTCCCCACCAAAATTACCATCTAACGGGTGAATATTGCAGTAAATAATAAATGAAAGCCTCTAGATATTGTCCTAAGAACATATAGCAAATGGAGAAACATTTTTTCAAGAAAATCCATTACATCTTGGTAAGAACAGCTACAGTCTGTTGCACTTGAGCCATTGCCCCACACCTCCACGCCACTCAGTGTGATAGAAGCCCTACACTAGGAAAATGTTGCCAAGAACACTGAACTCCCTCTCCCCCAGCTGCCAGTGTATGGCAACAGTTATACTGCGAGGGAGCCGTGGGCCAGCATGTTTCATCTCCCCTCAGGTCTATTTTGTAGAAGCCTAAGTATTCATCCTCTATTCATAGGGTAAAATCTCTACCCCAGACATGGCAAGCTGGGAATACTGGGTCCCAATTGCCCTCAGCCTAGCCCTCTCATAGGCAAGGAAGCTCCCCAGCAGAAGGGACAAGCCTCAAAGAGTAGGAGCTCCCATTTCAAGCTCCTCACTCTTGATACTCTTAGAACGTGAAATGTCTCCAGGGAAGTTGACTGCTGTGTCTACCCTCAGCTCCAGTACACTGTACAAAGATTCAGTTCAGAAGGAGGGGCAGGCCTTAAGAACAGAGAACTCTGCAACTCTTCCTAAGGGAGCTGGCTATTTGGAACAGAACATTTGCAAGTTCATACTTAAGGGTGTTGTGAAAACAGTAGAGATCCTGGTGGTGTATAATTAGGAGGAGGCTGATAGCTCCAGGATACTAGTAGCAACAAGTGAGACAGTACTTCCGCTGGAAGTTTTAAATAGGAAACTAGGGAAAGAGAAAACTTAAGAACCATCTTGGGGTCAGGGCAAAACTCTAGTAACACTGACCTTGCAAAGGGGCCCAACACTAATCAGATCAGACTGTGGAACAATTTATACCCAAGGATATTGTTAAAAACAATAGAGTACTCCACTAGCAATTAGCATAGTGCCTAAGGCACTTGACTCCTTACCAGAAGGCTCGTGCTTCAAACCCAGCCACTCCTTGGAAGGAAGGTTGGGCAATCTTCTTCTGTAGTGATACTACCTCAGAAACCCAAAGAGGGGTCACTATGAGTCAGGTCTGACTGTAAGGCACATAACAACAACAACAATAGCTGAGTGTAATAAAAATAAGGTCTAACCTGCAAGAAACTTAATGGGGAGATCAGAAAAGGAGACAGATAACCCAATTGAAACCACAGTCATCACAGGTGATGCAAACACGTGCTCAAGATTGTGTTCTCTAAGGATCGACATCAGATGCTGCACACTGTGAGGGAAGCAGATGTCATTGAACTAGTCTACCAGAGTCACTGGAGGAGAGACAATGCAGGGACGCCAGAGTAGCAGGCCGGAAGAGCAGGGAAGGGGATAAAAGCCTTGAGCCCCAGGCTCACAGGTGAGGAGAGACAACGCAGGGACGCCAGAGTAGCAGGCCGGAAGAGCAGGGAAGGGGATAAAAGCCTTGAACCCAGACAGAAGAGCAGTCAGCCCGAGGGTTAC